ATTTTTATATGAAAATAAACAAGCTGAAAATTGAAAAACCTTTAGTGCTTTTCTATAATATTAAGCCTCAAACGTCAAATATACATCGGATTGGTTTCTTCTTTAAATTATAAAAAAGTTAAAATATAAATGATATCATAATGTTATACTAAAACTAAAACAATGGAAAAACCCTAAAGATAACATGTAGAAAGAAAAAAACATATCTTAAGCGTGCAGAATTACGTAAGTGGACTTTGAACGATTAATTACCGCTTTCAACGATTACGTAATTGTGGCATCCAAAACAAGCAAGCCCTGTCCAGATTTAAAAAGCAACGCAAAAGTAACGTAACGCATTACTTTCCATAAAAAGTAACTAAGTAACGTAATTAGTTACTTTTTTATGGAGTAACGCAACATTGTAATGCATTACTTTTAAAAGTAACTTTCCCCAGCACTGATCACCACATCACAATAAATTACTTAAAAATGGCAATCCATATGCACATTTTTCTAAGAATGCATTAAACAATTCTGAGTCCGGTTGAAGCATATTAAACTCAACACAACAACGTAATCGGATACAATAGGAATAAAGCCATGAATCCGAGTCATCTCTTGTGTAATATGTATTTGTCAGGGCTCATTATACAACGTACATTCAAGTTAATAATGCAAAGGAGAGCAAGTAGAAAATACAATATTACGGAGAGTCGTAATAATACACAGCCAGCACAAAACGGACAGAAAGGCAAAACTAACTGAATTATAATTGCCACCGTTTAGAATTAAACAAAGTTGTATTTGTGAGGACCCGAGCTGACCAAACAGTTCATTGTGAAATGTTTGCGCTTTGTAGAGTAAAGTGCCGGCACTTCAAGCATTTTCATAATATCTGATTTGTAAAAAAAGACTGATTCTCGAACTCATTCTTGTTGAGTACGGCCGCTGTTGTGTCACCGGAAAGACTTCAACCAATCAAAGCTTCTCCTAAATCACAATCACAGTCTGTGTCTACCAGAAGACCGAATCATCTCTGATTAATCACGGTTTCAGCTGAGGGTCGCATGATTTCAGAAGCCATCGGTGGTTCATCTGGAGGTTTGTGGGGCTTTATGTTGTAGAACCGGTTTAGTTTCATTCTCACTGTGGTAATCGTGTTATCATTGTGTGGTCACTACGGTGGTTGATCTCCGGTCAGTCCAGCAGATCCCAGATCAGCGTGAAGCGGTGAAAACCATCACTTTTTATTATACTCAACGAGCCTCGCTCAGCAAACAGCTGCAGACTGATTTCTCTGAAAACCATTCAGAAACATGACTGAATCTGAAGGATTTCCACAGTAACTGATCACATGTAAACCGTAATACGTGATCAGATTAAACAAATATTAGACTATAGTACATTCTAAAATGCTCAGAATAAGAATAGTTACTTTTTCATAGATCACACGATTAGCTATTAATTCACACAGTGGCAGTACATTACTCATCGTTTGATTTGCTCGAATTCTGTTTTTTCTACCAATGCTTTATACATTTGTAAAGTCTTCCAGCTTTTCATCAGCAGTTCACTGATGAATCCCTGGCATAATGTAATGTTTAATACACTTCATAATGCTGACGACAAAGAATGGAATATATTTGAGGTCAAAAGTAATCCAAAAGTAGTCAGAATACATTACCTAATATGAGTAATACAATAAATTACTTTACAAACTATAATTTTGGTCATGTAATTTGTAATCAGACTACAATTTGTAAGTAATCGACCCAGCTGTGTGTGTATATATATATATATATATATATAATTATTATTCATATTACCATGGCTTTTATTACAATTATTATGGTTAAAATATGGTTAATATTGTTGTATCTATGGTATATTTGTGGTTTCTACTGTTTGAATTTAAATGTAATTTTTCTAAATGTATTTAAAAAAAAAAAATTTCCAGTAAATTTTTTTTTTTTTCCCAGAACATATAAATGCATGAATGGGGAGACACACACACACACATAAATTTGTGACCCTGCAGCACAAAAGCAGTGTTAAGTCGCTGGGGTATATGAACGGGTTATGTAAAAAAAAAAAAAATGCACGTTATGAATTTGAGTGTGAACTGAATGTAATGTTTTCAAACATTTAATTGCATGATATTTATAATTAAATGAAAATTTATAATAGTTAAAAATTGTTAAATGTGTGTTAGAGTGTTATATATATATATATATATATATATATATATATATATATATACACACATAGCCTATATATGATACAATAACAATTTATCACATTAACATTTATATATGATACAATATAAATTATAACATATATTAGAATATGCAGTGCAGTGAAGTAAAGGTTGTGATAATGGCTCAGTTGTGTAACGTTAGTAAAACCCTGAGGTAAAGTTCACTCTAAAGAGCGGATCGGTTACAAAACAGCCCACTTCTGTTTATTTACTCTTCATCGTCGTGAGTTCGCATATTTTCAGCGCGGAGAATCCGTCATTTCATTTCATTCAGAAGTCAAACAGGTCTTCTGACAGTCATATCAAACATTATTCGTTTAGAAGTTTCTGAAATTCTCCTCAGGTGTTTCATGAGTGACTGAATAATTCATTAGTTTTTCAGCTTACCGTGAAAAAACTCAAAGAAAGCGTCACGACCACCATCCAGAACAGACTGGATCTCCTGAAATACGAGCTGCCGTCACTTCTGGCCATGATGACTAATCTAACTAACTAACTAACTAAACTACAGTTAACTGCGCTAGTTTCCTCTCAGCGGTCAGTCAGTCACTACAGAGATCGCTCAGCACCGGAAGTGACAGACCGCGACACAAAATAAAAGTCCCTCATTTAAAATATATAAAAAAATTAAAAACATTTCACGCTTGTGAGAGTTTATTTAAAAACATGCTTAAGTTTAATAGCGCGCTTTTCTTCGATTTGTGTATATGCATGTTCTACTTTTATCTTGTGTTATTGCATTATAATTATATATAAATGTGATCTGCCTGTTCATATATGTATTTATATGTTCTGCAATACAAATAAATAACAACAACAACATCAATAATAATAAATACAACATAAAAATTACCTGGAGTTTTTAAAAATAAGTCGACTAATTAAGTACCACTATCGCTGCGAAAATTAATCGTGGTTTCACTACAGTAACCATAGATTTCTTTTAAAGATATTTGCTTCACATGCTCAGTTGTAGATACTTTAAGGTATTTTTTATATATTTTTTTATTACCTTATATGTCCAAAACTGTAATAATAATAAATAATAATAATAATTCACATGCTGTTGCAACATTTTACAAAAATCAATACTGAATATATTTGGTCAAAATCCCATGTTATAAAAAGATAAAGTGCTATGACAATATATCATATCAAACAATACGATTTTTGGCTGATTAGACGGCAATGCTGCCCTAAAATGCAAAATGTTTGCCCTCTCAAATACATAAAATATTAGGCTACCCTTTTTAGCTTTTGAAGTAAAGAGTAAAGAAAATACTATACAAAACGTATTGAAACAACCAGGGGCCAGTTGCATAAACTTAGCAAGAGGTAATCAGTCTTACTTTTCCAATACAAATAAAACCAAACTAACTTTTCATAACTGAATCAAAAAAGTTATGACCAGTCTTGAAGAAGAAAAAAATTAAATGACTAACTTTTTGAGACTACAGTTTATGCAACCGGCCCCCAGGGGCCAGTTGCATAAACTTAGCAAGAGGTAATCAGTCTTACTTTTCCAATACAAATAAAACCAAACTAACTTTTCATAACTGAATCAAAAAAGTTATGACCAGTCTTGAAGAAGAAAAAAATTAAATGACTAACTTTTTAAGACTAGTCTACACAGTTTATGCAACCGGCCCGTTCTTTATTTACTCTTGTAAGACATACTGTTAAGAACAAAACAGCAACAAATGTGTCCGTTTGAATGATTTGTGTGTTTAGCTGCAGCACAGTAAAGGCCACGCATGACAAGATCCATTTTTTTATTACAAAAAGGTCTGTACATTTGCGGCGTCAGAAACCAGAAATCACACAATAATCCAACAGAAGAACCAGTGTTTCTCTCACACAGTCTAACTCAAAATATATCAAACAAACCGGCTCAGATTTCTGAGCACATACAGTGAGGATCAACTCTAAATATTCAGCATTACGTATTAAAAATGCGAAAATGAGAGGAAAAAGATGGAAAAAGAAAGACAAAATAAAATGCATCATTCACTGTCCTACAGCAGGACGATTTCAAGAGCTTCTGACATGATAAAAACTGATATTCGTTATGAAAAATCCAACTCTAGCTGTCGACTGAAGCCCTTAACAACAAACATTAGTTTGATGTTCAGACCGACTGTGGAGTCCATTCACAATAATATACTCTATATAACATCAATATGACGCTCTCTGCCTACAGTTTGATTGACAGGGCACAACATTATTAGCAATAGTTCAGCCAAAAATGAACATGTGTTGAAAAATTTGCTCATCCGAGGTGTAGTTTGTTTTGTTGAGTTGATGAGTTGTTCTGCATTGCATCAGTGTCTGGGTGTGAATGGTGAGCACATTTTCAGCAGATTTTCATTTTGGGTGAACTCCTCTAGTTTTGTCTCAGTTTGAGGTGTTTCTCAGTGTTTATAGGCATCAGGGTGTCATGGACCAGTTTAAAGGTTAGAATCATCGGCAGCATTCAGAAAGAAGGGACGGGGATAAACAGCATCTCAAACCTCTTTCTCTGTCTTTTCATTAGAATTTTTAAAGGCGATTTGGCACAATCATGTTACAAAAGAGAGAGAGAGTTTGATCCTAAATCTTTGTATTTCTCATCTGAACACTGTGTATAAATCAATATAATGTGTTTATATTACATTCATTTACATGGTGAGTCAAATATCAGATTTCATAAGCAAAACAGTTACGATGTATACAAAATATCTATAAAAACAACTACATGCCATCGCACAAACAGGCAAAACAAATCTCCAATATTAAAAAACAGGTTATGTACATTTCCAAATGTCTCGTCTTATTTCCCAAATCTGTTTAGATCACTTTGCAGCACCACACACACACACACACACACACACACGTCTACAGCAGAAACTGTAGAATCACACGTATAAATGAGGAACTGTATAAAGGTCAATCTCAGAAAGGCGTTAATAAATAGCGGCGTCAGTCTCTGGTCAGTCGTTTTTGGCGTCCAGATTAACGACCTGAAGCTCGGTCAGGCTACTGCTGCTGCCGCTGGACTGCTGACCAATCACCATCTGCAGAAGAGAGCCGCTCATCAGCCAAACACTGCACATCTGCATCTGCTCCAGCTGCTCAGCACACACCTACCATATCATCTCACTAGGGACTGACTCCACATCCTTATATCTACATTTGACATTCATGCTTTTGGTAGATGCTTTCAGCCAAAGCAAATTACACTGCACATAAAGTTTGACGTTGTTAAGATAATGTCACTATAGAAGCCCGCTTCTGCAGCAGAATAAAAAATAAAAAATGCAATGTGTCATGTGTGTGTGTGTGTGTGTGTGTGTGAGTGTGTGTATATGTTGTTTCATAATTACTTCTACTGAACTGCACTGTACTGATTTTTAATGAAACATTTTAGTATATTTAAAATATATTAACTTTAAATGTAATATCAAATAAATTGTAAAAAATATACTTTTAACATTTGAAATATAGTAGTAAGAGTGCTGTTTTGACTCACTTCAGTACATCATTATATCTCCTTTCATAATTACTTCTATTGTACTGTACTGACTTTTAGTATATAAATATAATATTAACTTTAAATGTGATATCAAATATCCAAAAAATATACTTTTAACATTTGAAATACACTAAAAGTGCAATACAATGTTTGTGTGTGTGTGTGTTTGAGTCTCTCCCATCTCCTGAGTGTGTGTATCTGTGTGTGTGTATCTATGTATCCGTGTGTGTGTGTGTGTGTGTGTGTGTGTGTGTGTGTGTGTGTATCTGTGTGTGTGTGTGTGTGTATCTGTGTGTGTGTGTGTGTATCTGTGTGTGTGTGTGAGTCTCACCCGTGTCCTGAGTCGGTGTGTGTGACACCTGTCCCTGTGTGAAGGCGTTGAGCACCGCTACACTCCCGTCTCCTAGCGTGGGCGCTGATGTGTACATGAGCGTGTGTGGGCTGGGATACATCATGTGACCCGTCATGGAGGTGGGCACTGAGGTGACGATGGCTGGCAGACTGACTGCAGCGGAGACACAGAGAAGCGTCACTGACAGCAGGAGGCAGCGTCGCACTGAGGACACTCGGAGCAGTATTACATCATCAGCTTCACACGAAATAAGAAGGAACATTTTTCACCTTATATATATATGTGTATCTGCTTTAATGCACTTATCAAAATAATTAAATCAATAAAATGAGAAAAGTTTTGTGTTTTTTTTAACACAATATCTGTCATTTTCTGTGGTTGTTTGGATGCAGTAAAAGCAGAAAACATCAGGCGCATGTTTTGATTTTCTTCCGTCTCTGGCCGTAATTCAGAATTAATCATCAAATAATGTCATGCATGTGAAACGGGCTGAGAATGGGTCAAAGAGTTGTAATCTGGCTCAGATTCAGACAGGAATCCTGTGTTTGTGGTGTTTTTCTGATGATTAATGTAGAATACAAGACTTCTTCACCACACTAATGCTTGTCGAAAGCAAAAATGAAACTAAATGCATCATGTTTTGTAAGAAAGTGTGATATAAAAGCAAAAAAGACACTATTTTTGCAATCAGTAGCCCAAAATTAGAAAGAAACAAGTATTGGATTTCATTCATCAGCAAATATAATGCAGGGCAGTGATATAGCTGGCAAAAAAAACCCGCTAAAAACATTTTGTAGCCAAGGAAACATGTAGTTTTCATTTAGTTTAACTTAAAGTAAAAGTAAAAGTAAAAAAAAATATCAAAAAATGCACAACAAAATTACTAAAACTTTAAAGCAGAAAATAATATATAGATTAAAACTTTAATTAGAAATTGTAATATATATATATGTATTTGTATTATATGGTTTTATATATAACTTTGTGTGTGTAAATATATGTATATAGTAACTTTTTAGTAACTTTGTTGTGCATTTTTTGACATTTTTATTTATTTTTTAAATATGTGTGTGTGCGTCTATATTTATTATGTCTATATAAATACACACACATGCATGTATATATTTCAGAAAAATAGGTTATGTTTATTTATTAAATATATTTATTTATAATATAAATTATATGAATATAAATAGACATGTAAATACATGTATATATATTCAAAATATATACTGTATGTGTGTGTATTTATGTATACATAATAAATATACACAGAACACACACATATATTATGCAAACAAAAACTTTTATTTTGTATGCGATTAATCATTTGACAGCACTAATATATATATATATACCTATTTTAAAAAAATTGACAAAAAATGCACAACAAAGTTACTAAAATTTGACCTAAGCAGATAATAAAATGAAAACTAAAACTTAAAAATTAATAAACCTATATAGACATTTAAAAAAAAAATTTTTTTTTAATAACAAAAATGCACAACAACATTACTAAAACTTTAACTAAAGCAGAAAATAAAATAAAATAAAAACAAATAAAAATAAAAATATATAAAACTACAGACATTAAAAAAATGACAAAAATGCACAACAAAATGGCAAACTTTAACTAAAGCAGAAAATCTATAAATGAAAGTATATGCAGTATGTGAGTGTGTGCTGTACCTGTGGAGGCTGTGCTG